AAAAAAAAAAAAAAAATCACAGTATTGCAGTGTTGCTCTAGTGTTAATGTACATAGCAGTGAGATAAAAGCATTGCAGTGGAACTTGTGTTCATTTAGGTTTGTGTGATTTTTCAAGTTATTTTTAGATTTACTGTTTTGTAGGATGAGAGGTCTTGTCTCTTGGAAATAGTCATAACATTTTTAGAGAAAAAATCATAGCATTTTATAAGTTTCTCAAATAAAGTSTACAGTTAATAGAGAGGGTAGAGCGTTGCCATAGAAATGAGAGTTCCTTAATCAAGAAAATAGGAAGAGGAGTAAAAGGAAGAAGCTGATGTTCAGATGGATTTTTTTTTTCTGTCTTCTCTTAATCCTCTCTCCTTTTATTTCACATGTTCTTTAGGATAGACAGCTTCATTGTATATTTTTTTTTTTGTAAAATTCTATTGTTGTAGCAAAAATTACTTAAATTGTATAAGGTTACATCAGTAAACAGGACTCTGATGCTCTCTGTCTTGCTAAGCTTTATTGTTTGGAATAATAGGATTGTGCAGTGCAGTTTTTGACCACCTCATTTTTTTTGATTGTCCTCTTGCAGATATGTAAATACATATTGACAGCAGAGTCTCCAGTTAGTAGAATGAAATATTATCCTTAGTTTTTAGCTGGTGGTGAGTTGGGTTTCTTATTTGTTTTATAACTGCAGAGTAATCAAATCCTTTATAACGGAGAGGGTATACATGGAACTAACCTAGGAAAAATGTTTTGCAAATAGAATAACTAAGTCATTCTTAGCAGGAAATTCCTGTTYGCAAGAGAGCCTTAAACCAGCTCGAAATTAGATAGCTCAGGAACTACGGGTAGGTAATGATTAGGTTAAACTAAATCTTTGATCTTGCAAAGCCCTAATTCAGCATATCCTGCGTGCTTCTTTTAACTAGCTATGGATATGCTAGCTTAGTTATTTTGCATCARTGTCTCTGAAGATAAATTAGGTGAGAATGAGTGTTACCCCATTGTAAATGGGACTCCAAAAACTGCACTTTTTAATACTTGATGCTGTTTCTCAGATGCCACTGGATTTTGACTGTTACCAAGATTCACTTACTTTGTGTATGAGGTTTGGCTCATGTAGTATCTCTTTGAAGTTGCAATCTAACAAACCTTCAGTTTCAGAGAAAGATACTAAAAGAAGTATACAGTGTTAAGTCATAGTACTTAAACCAAACAAACAGATACAAAAGAATTAATAATGCAGTGTTCTTGATCAAGAACAATTTACTAAGAAACTGTGGAACTTCCACCAAAGGAGGTTTGAAAATTTGCCTGAATAACGAYGTTAGCAACCTATTTCACCTTAGAAGGCATCCCTGCTCTGAGTGGGTGATGGGGTTAGGTGACCTGCAGAAATATCCTCTGATATTAAGGTGTGTGTCGCGCTTGGTTTTCGTTTTGTTTTGTTTTCTTCTTGGGGTGTGTGTGTGTGATGCYAACTTGAAACTAGGTATAGGTTTGGCCCTTCTGCCATGCCTGCTGCTAATCCTAGGCCTATCTGCCAAAATCTTCAGTCTTTGGGGGCATAAATAATCAATTTTCAAAAAAAAAGCATCTGAGACTTAACAAAAATTAATTCCATGGATCTTTGCACTTTATTTCAGCTGTGGCTCACCCAGAACCACAGAGAAGTTAGATAGCATTCCAGTCTTTCTTGTTCTGAATATTCATTTATTTAATTCCTTTCTTTCTTTCTTTTTTTTTTTTGTAGTAGTAGTAGTCAGCAGGGAGATTTATCAGTATCTTTCTTTCTGAAGCATTAGTGTATTAGTGTACATCCCAATAGCTCCCAAAATGACTGTGCAACTTTTTTTTTTTACAGAGAAGGCGAAGCAGTGATCTAAAAACTGAGCYTTTTCATTTGAACATACCTACAATAAAAATAGGTCCATTTACATATTCGTATTTTAAAGCTTTCCTGAAAAATAGGTTAAAAATTAAAGTAAGGAGCAGCTGCAACTCCTTTCTCACCTAAGTTATTCTTRAAGTTTGTTAACCTGTTGTTCCACTGAAGCAAGAAAAGTGTGAGGCTTTGGTGTTTTACATGCTTCTAGAGCTGTGTATTGGATGCACAGTAAGGTAGCAATTTATAACAGATGTGAAATGGGTAATCTTTTTTAAGAGAACACTTCATTTTGTTCAGTGTGCTGGGGCATAAAGCACAGTCAAAACAGTCATTTTTAAAATCTGTTCTCTCTAGAGTTTCATGGTCCATCATGCAAATACCTACAATTTAGGGAATTCAAGCTTGAATTGCTGACGCTTATTTATCTGTGCACTTRCCGAAACACAGATTCTTAGAGTATTTTCCCACTTATATGTTAATTATAGAAACCTGTCTGTCTCTAGGAAAATTAAACCTGTTGCGCACACACCACTCCTTGATTGGTAATGGCTTTTCTTTGAATAAAAATCACTGAAAATATTTTTATAGTGAGAATAATCTCATAGTGTTTCTAAATGTCATCGCAGTAGATTAGATGATAGAAGGTTTTTTTATCAGTTTCTCATCACATGCTTTGCTTAAGCTTGAGACTCCAAAATGAATCCTTTGTGTTTGGTGGATGGCTATATCGAATCTTGACAAATCTTATTGTGTTTTCATAAAAAAGTGCTGTATTCTTACAACAATAAACTTGTTTGCTAGATAAATCAGATAAATATGATACTAGAGATGTGGAAAGACTTCAGCAAGATGACAAATGGGTTGAAAATTATCTGATCTGGAGGCACGATGTTGTGGACGACACGTTAAAGATGATTGATGAAAGCTTTCAGTGGAGAAAAGAATACACAGTTAATGGTAAGCTATGTTATGTAATTATTGTGATGAGGCATGTTGCTTTTCTCCTCAACTACTGCTAGCCTAGATGTACAGTTTCATTAAGCACCTTGTTCTCAGAGGTCCTGTAAGTACCACAGCAAAAAACTTTCCTATTTGGCTAGAAAATAAAATATTAGAACTTCTTCTAAAATATTAGAAGAAACCAGAATCAGAAACAATCAGAAACAAGAGGAACTGTAGAAATTTGACGGAAAAAAAAAAAAAAAAGAGAAAAACAACAGGCTATTGACTATTTTTTCTTCAACTGTTTATTCTTATCTCTTCCTAAGTATATTCTGCTCTACAGCATGATAGGAAGACACTAAAGTTTTTAAAATGAACTCAGTCTTTGTATCAGTTGATAAAATGTGATTGTTAATTTGCTGAAATAATATTTTTTCTCCCTCTAGACTTGACAGAATCTGTCCTTCCAAAATGGTTATTTGAAAGTGGTGCTATCTTTCTACATGGATATGATAAGGAGGGCTATAAATTATGTAAGTTGCATATAATGATAGATGTCTGAAAATATTATACTTTGTTTCTATCATTTTAATAACATTCATCTTGGAGAGTAAATGCTTTAAAATAAACAATCAGTGCTGACTCCTTTACCAAATCAATGAGCAGTTGATAGCTTTCAGTATGTCTTTGGATTACATGATTTAAAGGAGCAAGGCTTATCATCACTTTCAGAAATTAAAAAACTTTATCTTAATTATGAATGCATTTTTACCTTTTTTTTGCCTTATTCTGGATCTTTTATGGTGAGTATATAGCTAGAATAAGACTTGATTATGTTATAGTGCGTAGTCTTTGCTTTTCCAGTAGCTTACCACAGTCATGTACTTGCAGTGGTTCATGGCTTGTAAGATTTGATTTTGTCTGTTTTTGTTTATGTCATTGTCATATTTGGTAACAGTTTGGACAGCTGAGGAATTCTAGGAGAAAACTCTTGMGTTTCAGAACAATTTTTAGTGATTAGAGAATAGGATATGTAGAGAATCAGTAAATACTCCTTGAAGTACATGGTAGGTGTATTACTGTATAATAGATGAGCATATTGTTTTCTATATAAGGGTACAGATAGCAGCATTTCTCACAATTGAAAGTGAATAATTTTAAGTCATGTGAAATGAGTTTTTAAATCACTCGTGTGACTCTCCAARCACTGATCTTGAAAGATGAGAAAATATTAAATCTGAAATTCTGCTTTTCCTTGGTTTGCCAGAAGTAGTTCATACCTCCATAAACAGATTAKCAATGCAGTGTTTTCCAGAGTGACTCTCCTTTAAATATTGTAATATGTTRTTATCACAATGAAATAATGACTAGTAAAACACAGTTCTTACTCTGTGGCTCTACTTTGTCAAAATGTCCCTTTTCGTCATTGTAAGATTCAATACTGAGTTGCTAATACCTCAAAGTTGTTAATACCTTAATGAGTTTCTCTTTTAACCTTTATTCAAACCAGGTAGTAATCAAGGATGAGAGGTAAATATAATGTTTATACAACATTTAGAAAGTTGAGCATGGTTTTATAGGATGCTTATTTTGGTGAGGTTATGGAGAGAGAAACTATGAAATAAGAAAATATGACTCTTGTAGCTGTGGTTGGACTGAAAAAAGGTCATATGCAAGAGGGCATAATTTGGGTGAATTATGAGTTTTGATTTTACTGTCACAGTGTTTTAYGTTATAGCTGTCCATAATTACATCAGCTGTTATGTCATAGGTAATGTTTTGATTTTATGTCATCCAAGTGTTTATTTCTGTGATGTATTGGGTGAGAATTCTGCCTGCCTTGGTGTGCAAACTGAGGGTGCATGGTAGTTATATGAGATACTGGTTGCACTGCATCTGAGAAGCATGTTTCTTGAGCTAGATRTCACATACACCACACTTACTCAATACGTAAAATAGACCTTTCAAACTATAAAGAAACTCTTCAAGAATTTCTGATTATTTACAAGACTGGCCGGTGCTTGGACAGGTTGTCTTTTTGACGTTCTGAACTTGACAGCATGCACTTAATATGTTATATTTAAAATGCCCAAAAAAAGCCATGTTTGTTGCTGTGTATGAGCTGGGKTTTTTTGCTGGTGATTTTACTTTCTAGTTATTACGTAATTAGAAAAGTCTCTCAGTGTCTCTTATTTCCTTATTTTAAGGAAAACTTTCAGTGACTTTTTTTTAAGTAGAAGTTTGAGGGAACATGATATTAGAGAAATGACTGTGTAAAAATGTAGACCATGTAAAAATGACTATGTAATTAGCTATTTATTACTATAAAGTCTACTTATGGAAAAACTTGTCATTAGATGGCTCATTTCTTATTACAAAGGATACAAGTTAGGCTTCTGAAAAAAGGCTGTGCATTGAACTTTCTTTATATAATGTTGTCTTTATTTTGGATTTCTTTGTTTTCTTTATTTTGCTTGGGAAAAACCTACAGCTTCTATATAATGCACAATAATGTGTGTTTAAATAACTTTTCAAAACACTTAACTCCTGTGATATGGAAAAAGGCAGCATAGTAGAAAAGACAGCATAGAAGCAACAGGCAATACAGCCACAATACGGGGAATATATGTAGAACCTGATATCATATCTCTGAGGACTGCATTAATTTAATTTCAACTTATGAAATAAGAAATATTCTAGATAAGATATAATAGGAGTGTTTAAATAAAATACATGAAAAGTATTTTTCCACTCTACTGCTGCCTCACTTTCTAATGCTTATTATTTTCCTTTTCCTTTTTCTTTTTGAGAATTCTGAAATAAAAATGTCATCAAGAAGAAGAAAAAATAACATGCAGCCGTTTTGTAGTGACTGTAAAAAAATGCAGAATACAAAAGCGCAGAGACTTTGAATTTCATAATGCATGCTGTTCCTGTACTGTTATCAGAGTGGTATTTTCTGTTGATTTGAATCTGTTTTCTTTTATTTTTTTTTTTCTTCTCTTTTCTCCTCTTCCCAAGTTTGGTTCAGAGTGAAACTTCATGTAAGAGATGCTAAACAGCAACTTGAGAAAAAGAAACTGGTAGCGTTTTGGTTAGAACATTATGCCAAGAGAGATCATGGGAAGCCTTTAACAGTTGTGTTTGACATGTCTGAAACTGGAATCAGTCACATAGTAAGTATTCCTATTTCTCATTCTGGCTATTTTCTGAATTATTTAATCCAAATCTCCTCTTTCTCAGGTCCCGTGCACTCCATTAAACCTATATAATCTAATGATTGCTCACAGCAGTGATCTGTAAAGCTTTTTTTCTTGTAACTACAGCTGTTTTCTAGATTTTTTTGTTACACATTAAAGTTTATTTTTTAAAGTCTTGTACTACACATTGAAAACTTATTTTCCTTATGACAACTAACCAAGCCCAAATGGCTCTATATAGCAGTTGTCTGCTATCTTACTTTGTGAATCACGGTAGATTATTGTGTGGCTAAATTTTTAAGTACACAAAGCTGAGCCCTCTTTTACTGTGTATGCTCTCGCTGCCTCTTCCTGAACAGCTAAATTTACGCTTTTCTCATAATTCGTGGTTGAWTTCAAGGCAAGTCAAAAGGGATAAATGGAAAAATAGGATAATGATGGCAACACTCAGGCCCTCAGACACTACTATCAGCAGAGCTTCCTCTTGTTAGTAGCCTAGAACAAAATAATGGCTCGCTTACTCATTGGGAGCGGATGTATGCTGTGGTATCCCTTCCCTTGTGTCTAGTTTTCACCTAATATCTTTATTTGGAAGGTATATACATGTCCGTATTTTTCTRAAGCTTGAAGGTTTTACTTTATGGAGTCTTGTTTAAGGGAATACAGCACCATTATCTTCCGTTTCCTTATTAATTCTGGGCTTATATACTTCTCCCTAGAGAAGGAGAATAACTAAACATCAGGATTTCTTGAGAAAAAGTGGTGTTTGAGAAATTTAAGAGATGAAAATCTAAACAGCTCTGTCATTTTCTTCAACTGAGAWCAGCAGAGAAAAGGCATTTTTTTAACACCCACTTTTCTGGGCAGAATCTAGAGCTTTATTATAAAAAGCACAAAGGAATGGGGATTTTTTTTTTTTTTCAGAAGCACTATTTGATCTTGCGATCTATGACACATATCCTGAAGGAACTTTTCTAGTGTCTTTGAAACTCTGAGACACAGTTTCAGCCAATGTTCTTCATAAGTCTTCCATTATAGAGTCTTGCTCTGTAGTTAGTGTCTTTATGAGAGAACAGAGATATTTTCATCAGATATTTGGAGCAGAATAAAGTAAGGGATGAACTTTATTTTAAAAGAATATGGAGGTCCAAGTTCTTCTCTGGAATATGTTTCCTTTGCTTATTCATCACTAACGTAGTCTCATCCACTGTGTCAGCTTTTCTCATTCATACGCAACCAGGTAATTCTGATAACTGGTGTCTTTTTGAGGCAGTTCTGATAACTAAAATKAATGCAGTGATTGAGTGGTCCATTGAATGCTGTAGTTCTAATTTTAGACCTTTTCAAAATAAGGGATCCCTCCTCCCTATGTCTGCTGCTGCGTTTGAACAGACAGCAGAAATAAAAGCAGCCTGCTCACTAATGCACTAATCACCACTTGGAAATCTATCACTGTGTTTATGCTGTTGAATAGACGGTGCTGTATTTGGCACAAGCAACATCCAGTTGAGGTAAATACTTCTATTAAAGCCTACCTCCTGCTTCTAAAGACACAGCTTTCAGTTAGTTTATAGTTACTGAAGCTTTTAATAAAGCTTTAAGATTGTGAGTAATCTCACAATTACTCACAATTTTTTGTGTAATTTTTTTTTACCCACTCTGCTGTCTATAGATGTTACAATATGATTTTCCAAAAGTTCAGTGGCCATTTCACCGTATTTACTGTTCTTGTTGGAGGCTTTAGATCCTTTATCAGCAGCATATTTTTCTCTACCTCTGTAAATCTCCTTTGTAGTAGTAATCAAGATAGAAAATATCTTCTACTATTCAATAAATGGTCTAGCTTAACTAAACCTGTATTTTTATTGTTTTGATTTACACTGCATTTACTTTGTGCTTTTATTTTAGGACTTAGACTTTGTTCGATTTATTGTCAACTGCTTTACTGATTATTATCCAAATTTCCTCAGTAAGTATTGTATATTACACCTAAAGCACTGTATATATTTGATAATTCTGGAGATGATAGGAAGGCTAACTTCTTTGCCTCCCCCTTGCCCCTTTTTCTAAATAAAAGTCTTTTTGCATTTACTTTTTTGCATTTACTTTATGTATTGTAAAAATAAATGAAAGACCCTGAGAATTTAGGATTTTGACCAGAAGGYCTGTTTAGGTTTTAGAAACAGCCTAATTGCATGCAACGTTTTAACATTATAGATTCAGAGTATTTTTACACTGTTAAGAACCATCACAATCTGAGTATAAAATTAACTTGCAAAACACAGAATCCACTTCTTTTTTTTTTCAATAAATGTGAAGAATCTAAGACATGTCTGCCAGCTTAAAAATTAGTACGTATATCTAGTAGCACTGAATTAGCCTATGGTGTCCTTCGTTCTTTATTACTTGGGTGGAAGTTCTGAAAACTTACATGGCAGTTGGTGTCTTTTAGCAGCCCTCAGGATACAAAAGAATGAGTAACTATAGAAACTATTGGGGAACAATGGTCTGCTACTTCAAAGACAGGATTAAGGCATTTTTGTTTGRGTTCCTGGAAAAAAAACAGCACACTTGTCTGTTAATTTCTTCTGTACTCACAAATATTGAATCATTTTTTGTCAGTTCATCCTTCATGCATTCTGAATTTTAAGTCAAAATTTGTGAAGATTGAAATTATGTGCAGGAGCTACTAAAACTGCAAGCAGTAGATTGCAGCTTGCAGAAAATCAAAACTAGGTGCACAGTGGTGTTTTTGTTTTGAGTGATCCAAAACATACCCTGAAGTATATTTTTTCTTGAATAAAAGTACTGATGTAGGTTTCTTTGCCAAAAGATTTACAAAGGTCTCTGCTATTTGCTTAACTGTGAAGAAGGGAAGTAGTGCTGTATCTGCCTGTTAACCTTTTGTTTTTTAGTAAGCAGTTGCTTTGCTAGGTTATTTATTTGGAGTAAATATTTATTAATAAATGAATCTCAGAAAAGTAGTGCCAGAATAGTGTTTTACTTGTAATTACTGTTTCCCAAGCAAACACCTAATATATTTGTATAGAAATGGATTTGTACATGTTTCTAAACAATTCTTCAAAATCATTTTTTTCTGGGATGTGAACATAAAGATGTGTGCAAGTGAATATTTGCTTGTTACATGGCCTTTATTGCCATGCTTCTTATTAAGGAAAGAAATACATACTATCTCATATTCATAATATTTCCTTTTGTCTTTTCAGCAAAGATAGTGATCTTTGAAATGCCATGGATAATGAATGGTAAGTCAATCTACAGAAAAGTCTCTTTTTTTAATAGTTAAATGGTGGAATATATTTTAATTATGTGTCTTCAAATTGACATTTTTTAGGTCACATGCTTTTGATATGTTTAGTTTTCTTTCTAGTGTTGTGTTTGGGGTCATACTAAAATAGTCCATACTAATTCTATTCAAAACATAGACTGAGAAGAGATTTAGCTGTTGCCTTTATACCATAACAGACCTTGATAAATAATCTATTTCTTGAATGTTTCCAGCTGAAATCCAGTTATGGAATTTAAAGTAGATATATGACACTGGACGCTGTTATGTGTGTGTTTTTTGATGTGTTACTAAGGGTAATTATCAAAGTATACACATGGCAAACATCTATGTTTAAATGCTATTAGTTTTCTTTCACAGTGTGTCCACAATACAGCAGATATTTTTAGAGCAATTTCTGTCATATTATATGGCATATAGTTCACTTGAGTGTTCTATAACATCTACCATAAACTTGAAAACTTTTTCTGAAAATTTTTAACTTTTTTTTCTTCTTTTTTTAAAGCTGCTTTTAAAATTGTAAAGGGTTGGCTTGGCCCAGATGCAATAAGCATGTTAAAGTTCACAAATAAGAATGAAGTGCAGGACTACATCAGTGGAGAGTATTTGCCACCTCACATGGGTGGAACTGTAAGTACATTAGCACTTCAAAGTACTTTTTTAATGGCTTGAGATATGCATATTTAAACTACATACATGAAGCTGAAATATGACGTTTCCTGGATGTGTAATTTCTTGAAGTATCCCCTTATGTCAAAATGGTAATTTGTAAATCATGTTAATATCAAGTGAATTGACTGGATGAGAAATTGCTATCTGGCAGTCTTATGTACAAAACGAGTACAAACACACACAATTTCTAGCTGAAGTATCTTCCTTCCACTCAGCGAATTAGAGAGGTTGTGCATTGATTTGTGGCACTGAAGTTCTGCAAAAAGAGAACAGGTTCCAGGGCCCTCTGAAATTTCTCATCTTTTTGTTTTGCAAAACTAGTATATCATAGTTTGCATACAATTTAGAGGAAAAAATAAGTATTTTTCTTTAAAATATATGCAGGCAGCATACAGCAGTGATATAATTCCACCATAAAAGAGTTGTTGTTAACCATCTTTTTTTTCCACTAAATGTTTGTTGTATTTGCAGCATTAACAGTGTGGAGAAAAGATTGCTTCAGCCCGAGTAGAAGCTTGTTCCTTTGACTGTAAAGTCAAGGTAGAGTTCTGGTAGCTAGAGTATATGAAACAGTGTTACTTCGGGAATATTAAAAAAAAAAAAAAAAAAAAGTCACCCTGTTATATGACTGAAAGCAGCACCCATTAGAAAAGCAGCTTTTATGACACTATAGCGATAAATCATACAAAAAAGTGATAGCATCTTTCTTGCTAGAAAATTGCTGCCTTAGTTCCACGCTGCTGTAAAAGAACTCATTATAGAAAACTAAAATATCTGACTTTTAGGAGTGGCCATGGAGGGAATGGCTGATTGATTGTGCCTCAAATGGTTCCAGTAAGGATTGGGATGGGATTTAGTAATTTTTCTGGACGGAGCTCCCACGCCAGGATGTTTTCTTGTTATTGTTGTTGTAAGAGAGGGGGAAGTTCCTTTCTGCAAGGAAATGCAAATACATCCTGTCTGCTTTTGTACTGTCTCACCTGACAGCTGAAGTCCTCCTTCGAAGAAGGAATGAGGTGGCTCCGCTTACCGTCCTCATGCAGTAAATGGTTGAGCACAGAATCTTTGAGTTTGATTTATGCTGCTCTGGTTCTGAAAGGTCCTGTGGCCACTTAATGATATTTGTCAAAGTTATCTTCATGTTTCCCATCTTCAAAGAACGTAAATGTCAAATCATGAAGCAGTTTGTGCAAACCTGTGATAAGCTGTTGTGACAAAAAGACATTAGCAAAATATGAGTGCATTTGCTTGACAAAAATGTCGAGCATATGAACAACTTATGRGGGGAGCGGGAAAAAAGTATTGCTGCAACTTAAAGGCACAATATTTTGAACTACCAGGTGTTTTTTTTTACTGAATATTGAGGCTTCAGTGGCCAGAAGGAAGGAGGTTTACTGTCCTTTTCTTAGGATGCAGCTTTTCACAATGCAATTAACCGTGGCTCTTAATGAGACAACTGGAGTCTCTGAACAAGAGAGAGCAAACTCACCAGTTTTGTTGTGAAGGCTGTGAAAGCTTTTTGAGGTTGCACTTTCTTTATACAAATCCTCATTCTTTCCACTCTATTCAAGCCTTTATTTTTTCATCTCCTCCTAGTTTTTTTATCTCTTTGTTTTTCCTCCAGTTAGGAAAAGATCATAAGTTTTACTGCTGACATGGCACAGGTGGAGAGCAAAGCCCACCTGTCCTTAGACTGTACTCTACATTGCAGTTCTCCTCCTCTACCTTCTTTGGTRTCTCTAGATAGTCTGCACCGGGGAAAAGCCAGATTAAGTGAGATGTAAACAACTAGTGGAACAGGTCACCTAGCTAGTTACTTTAGGGAAGTACAAAGAAAGTGTTGGAGAACCCAGATATCCAAGAAAAATGGTAAATAGATACCAGTTTTGTAATTTTAAAACCGTTTTAGAATTTTGCAGTATTGAGCTGTGTGTGATGCAATTGAAACTCTTTATAGTCTTTTAGAACATTCTTTTAAAACAGCTGTCAATTCTAGGAAATTTCATTTAAAACATAAGAAGAGTAGCAAATCTGTAAAGCTAAGGCTGTGAACACTCATTTCTGGCAAACTGTGAATTTACAGTTGAACTGTGAATCTATAAGTAATAGCAGTTATAATTCAGTGGTTTTGTTAGGTGACTGCCTTTATTAGTGGTGATGTTATCTGAACTATTGGTAGTATTCATGTTTTGCACATGGGTGCATTTTAAAATGTAAACATTAAATGTATAATTACATGAAACTGAATACTAATTGATAGTATTTCCATTTTATAATATACCACTGAAAGCACTTCATCCTCCAAAATAATTTCCTTTCAAAATTTCTTTATGTTTTAGGATTCTTTCAAGTATAGTTATCCTCCATTGGTTGATGATGATTTTCAAACTCCTTTATGTGAAAATGGGCCCATTACTAGCGAAGATGAGCATGAAAGTAAAGAAGAGATAGATGCAGACACCAAGGAGGCTGGGGATCCCAATGAAGAACAAAATCTTAATCCTAAAAAGGTATCTAATTCTTAAACTTGAGGCAAAACTAGTTGCCTGCCAAGTGGGAGAGGAGGCATGCTATTTTTGTTTCTTGTCAGCCTTTTACTTAGCATTTAGGTTTGTTTTTCTTTCATTTTGAAATAAGTATTTAGTAAAACTGAAAAGTACACTTGTAGTTTTGGGCCTTCATTTTTTGAGCAATTTTACTGTTAAGAACATTTCCATGATTCTTAATGCATAAAATAGATTCTTAATATTTAGTATATCTGTGGAATTTAATAGATTGCACAGTAAAATTTTAAAAGATTGTGCCATAATTTCATTTCCCAAGACTATTTTATCTAATTAGTCTTTTTTTATCTTAACTTGGAATATCTTGAGAAATGAGCGTTAAAATGTCTAGTCTTATAGACATATCCAGACAATTTATAGTTTTCTGTTAAAATCAGTATATTCACAAGAAAATATTAAATTGCCTGTTTATACTTCAGTGGATTTCTTTTTCTTAACTATTGATAAAATCTCAACGTATAAAAATGATTTTTTTTCCTCAGGAGATGTTGTTTCCCTGATTTTTCCATTCCTGTGTTGAGAATAGAGTCTTCTTTCAGTTGTGTGGTATTATGACAGTCAATGGGCTATTGTTCTTGCAAACAGCAGCAAAAGTCTGGAATTTATTACATAAGATTGTAAGGTCATAATTGATCTTGGAATATGAATCACAAAACTTTTGCTTAATTGAATGTAAAACTTACTATTTTCAGAAAGCTTCATTTCCTGTTTTATTTTGTTAGAACAATTTGAAGCACAAATATCCATTAAATAATTGAGCTGTTGTTTGCAACTTGGCCAGCTCTTTAGAAAATGTGATTTTGCTGACTTTAAGGCCAAAAGGAAGACCATTGTGACCATTAAGCTCAGGAAGAACATGCATGATCCCCATTTAACACGGGAATGTGCTTAGGTGCTTAGCGCTTTTACGGTGATTGTGCTTTTGTGTGGTGGTGGTGGTTTTGTTTGTTTGTTTTTTCTTTCTTTTTTTTTTCTTTCTAATTTGATCACTTTAAGGTTTCTACTTAGGATCTTTTTTTTTTTTTTTTTCCTATTCTTCTAAGTGCTAAGAATAGTAGTTTAGTTTATGATATCAATACAGCATTGGTATAGTATACAGCAATACAGTATAATCAAGCTGCCAATCAGTCTTTTCAATCAACTAGGCAGATCAATCTTTAAACTTATCATGTATTAAGTAATGTGTTATGGCTTGTTACATCTTAGAGATATTTGTAAWGTTTTGGACCATATCTCATTGTTGATAGAATTTCTATAAGAAATAGTTTATTGTTCTGCTCTCCCGTCATTAGTCTTCTCTTCGCATATTCAAGATGAATACTTGCCCTTTCTTCCACAGCAAGCATACCCTTGTTTGCCACTTCAGTGTTATGTCATTTTTCAAAGTCTATTTTTCAGGAAACAGTCTCTCATTCTCTTGAAATAGTTGACATTTATTATTTCTAAATTAATTATTTTGTACTTGGCTCTGTTAAATAATCAAATAGACCAGTTTCCAAAGCGAGAGATTTCAAGTCATTTGTGCCTCCTTTGTTACTTATTGCATTGGCATTCTTTGAGCTTTTTGATGAAAATTTGCTTAATTTATTTTATATATGTATGCCTCCTCTCATATCATGCAAGTGCCTTATTTCTTTCCACAGAGTGGAGGGAGCAATGAGTAATAAAGCTGATTGTAGTGCCTGTCCTGCAGAAACTTGCATTTATCTGGAGGAATTCCACCTTTAATTTATGCTATAGTAATATTTTCAGTGATGGTAATTTTAATCAGAATCATGTAAATAAAGTCAAACACATTACTGGTTACTCTAAACATTCAATATAATTATTTTAAATAATGAAATTAAATTGTTGTGTGTGTGATTTGTTTTTTACAAGGCCTTTCCTCTGCAAAATTTTGAGTGTCTCTCATTCCCTTACTCCAAACTTAAATAAACTGAATTCTTGTCAGACCTTCTGCCTGTATTTTAACTGAAACAAAAATAAGGCTAAGCAAACTATCTAGTTATCTGATCTTGATGAGCTGTCATATCACTGATATTTTTCATTCTTTTTTTTTTTTTTTTTTCTCCCCATTTCCTTTCATTTTTATATGATGGATATTCAGGCTTGTTGACATACACATTTTCTTAATCTAGTAGAGGAAGAAATACTCAGTCCTTAAGGTATCTGTAGTTTTGGATGTACCTATTCAATCAGCATTTCTTCTTTTTTTTTTCTCCAATACCTTAGAATTCAATCTAAAAAGTAAAGAAGACATATTTAATAACTCTGAAATACAATGAGGTGCAGAATTTTTGTGTTTTCTGATCAGTGTTGTAATGATTGCATTGGGGTGTCTGTTTTGATTCTGGTTTGCAGTGGAAGAATAAATAAAATAACATCAGTGCTTTGTAAATTGAAAATTTGAAGTAGCATAACTATGGGCTTGGTGTACCGTCTTGGGTATCAAGAAAATACTTACAAAAAAGAAGAAAAGTGTTTATGCATGCATAATATATTGTGTAACTTTTAATTCAAAAACATTTTATGCAGTTGACTTTCCAGCAGCTTCAGCAAATACAAATTCAGCTGGGTCTTTAATATATATATTATTGAAATGAGCTGCCTTGTGTTGTTTGCTGATGAAATACCTGCGTGACTTTTAACATGTATGACTCAGGTTTCTACTTAATCTTTGTAACTGTCATTTTCACTCAGATGAATTCTGTAGAACAAATTCCCAAATCAGAGGAACAAACTGACAAAACAGATTTCAAACCAAAAAATGCAAAGAAAGCACTAACTACTTTTAAAGGACCTTTATTGCATATCAGGTAATAATAATTTTCTTTTTAAATTTTTTTTTCCCACAATGTGCTTTGAACACTTGATTATGGAACTAGTTACAGTTTTTGAGAGGCTATTTTTTTCAAGGTTTAGAGCAAGCAAATTATATTTATAAACACCAAGTAATTAATTAAATGTATTCATTTTAAGAATCCCACCTCCCCAAAGCCCATAAACAATTTTCTAAATTTGAGTGAGTTTCTTCTAGTGATTTTTTTTTTTTTCTTGACATAACTATTGGCATGCTTTATGCTAATCCATATATGTATATTTCATTTATATGAGGAAAATGATTGTAGTTTTATTAAACCAGTATTATATCAGTAATGAGAATACTTAGTGGTTTAACTCTGGCATCTTTAGACAAGAAAATTTTAAACAATCTGCTTACTGAGACAACTCTCCGATGAAGTTTGAGTTGTTTTTAAGTGAAAATGGCTTAAATGTCTGCACTCTGCATTTGCCCCATCAAAGCCAAATTTTAAAGGAATTCTTCCATTGTGGGCAGTGCTGTGCATGTAAATGGTATCTCTGCTCAGAAGATTCCGTCACTGAAGAGTCACAGGTTTTATTGTTAATCTGCTTTGCATCAGGAGTTTTGAAATAAAACAAATTCACCAATATGTTTCTCTTTTCACTGCCTTTTTGAGTTAAGATGCTTGTTTAGAAAATGACTTAGATGTTAACTTTTATTTTCGTTTCCAATTTGAACTTAGAAATTGCCTAAATTTCTTAGGTGAGCTAACTTCGTAAGTGCTGACTGAATTAGATTTGGAATGAATTTGAATAATGACATATTCATTAGCATTTAAAACACTTCTGTGTGAAATATTTCTGGTTCTGAAATGGAAATCAGCTTTCTTGTTCTTTGTGTGCCAAACCCTCTTCCGTATCCTCCTGATTTCCGTAGAACAAAGAAAGGGATTGCAGATTTGATTTCTAAAAGAATTTCTAAAATCCATCGACTCCTATTTAGATTTTCTTTGAAGAAAAAAAGTCAGATATAGGATGTTTTTTTTTTTTTTCCCCTCCTCCGAAGAAGCTATTTCTTTGCACTGATGCCTTCAAAAACACATTTTAAAAGGTACTTTTTTTCTTAATCTTTTAAGCTCTACCACTGAAAGAGAAGTGTTGGGAGTTTATGTAAATTATAAGGGAGAATAAAATTAGTCTCGAAGAGAGAATAAATTTAGCCAAGTGCAGAGGTGCTGATGCTGCAGTTTTGCTGTCGTGAAAAATAAAGTACTGGCATCTCTATTGTCCGTGCTGTCCATTCCTTACAGAAACGCACGAGGCAGCTGCGCTGCCCACACTGGTCCTSTATAAAATACCTAGCGGGGTAGGAGCTGGGATTAGTTTTGGTTTCCCGGTGTGCCTTAGGCCTCCGCTTCCGAGGCAGTTTGCAGGCCCTCCTGCCACAGGCCCGAGCGCTGAGGCGGCAGCAGGGAGTGCGAGCCCTGCCTGCCCAGCGCGTTTGGGCTGATGGCGGCGCCGCCGCCRCGGGCTGGCGGCAGCAGGGGCTGGAGGGCAGTGGGGCCGGGCGGTGCTGCTGCCACGTGGAGGGCTCGGCGAGGCCCGCGGCCCTACGCGCCTCGGCCGCCAGCCGCGCAGTCCGCCTGCCTCGAGCCCCCGCTGCCCTGGGCGTGCGCTGCCCACACGAACGTGGCCCCATTGGGGGCCTTTGCACCGGGTCTGCCTCACTCTGGCCTAACCCCTGCTGTGATTTCCCTGCCTACCTAGACGTGTCTGCCTGCTCCATTAATAAATGAGTGCGTTTGGTAGGAGAGCGGGGAGTTGTAGCTGTTCCTTTGCACTCTCTGCCGGAAAACTAGCTCTGTGTACAGGCTGAAGTGCTTCCTCCTCTACATCTCGGATGCAAGGAAAACAGGGTTCTGTTAGAGGGCAAAATCTTGTGTATTTCCCTAAAGGAAAACATAGGTATGCATATACATTATGCTATGCTGATGAGCTACTTCAAAACATACATATGTGTTATACAATGATACTGCTTGACTTGACTTTTTTTTAAAAAAAATCTTATCTTTTGCCACAGTTAGGAGCATAGCAAGCCGTATCAGGCTTTGCTAGCTGTGCCACAACATCCCTTTTCTAGAACCCCGTATTTTTGTTCATTTTGGACATTAATTTTAACAATTCTGGTGTCATTCATCTTTTTTTCTTTTTTTTTTTTTTTCAACTTATATAAAATTCACATTGTGGTAGTGTGGCATTGGTATCTGAAGTACCTAATAGTTGCAGTCCTTCCTTTTTTAAAAAAAATTATCCCTTACTGAAATTGAGTTTGGAAACAGGGAGAAAATTGAGACAAGAGAATTCAGTAACCCAGCTAATTTTATTTAAACCCATCAATTTGTTAGTGCCTGCCTGCCTTAGCACGGTTAGTCCTGCCTCTGTCTCTCTCTCTCTCTCAAAAAAAAAAAGTGAACTGTATAGTGCATTATAAAATATAGTTATTCTCAGCTGCCTTCAGACATGCCCTAAAGCCTCCTTTTTTTTCTTTTTTTTTTTTTTTTTTTCTCGCTCTCTGCTAATATCCTGTTTTGCTTAAATGAGAGAGAAGGAGAAAGGATTCATATTGTGAAAGGAGTTCCTTTGAGGGAGAAAAGGCCAAAGTAATGTAAAACTGACATTTTAAAATTGAGAAAAAAAAAAAAGCAGTATAAGTAAGGCTATGCTCATTTTTTGGAAAAGGCTTTCTGTCAGAGAATAGGGCAGTTTTTTATGTACCCTTAATAAGATATTAAATAAAATAAAATAGTTCTTTCCCTGTTGGTTATGTTTTCTCTCAGCTAGTGCATGCTAGAGCATGCCCTGCTTTTAAGCACAGTAGTTTTCATTTGAATGCTTATTCCAAGATGAAGTAGGCTWCTGTGATGATATTTTAAAGGATTTTATGCATGAGTTTTTAAATTGCACAAGAACTTTACAGAAAAGACAAAACTTTATTTTTTTTGTAGAACTTTGCATGTGTCTCCAGAATATATGAAGCCAGACTTCACATATTCAAGTGCATCTAGCTGTAGGAGCTGAAATGATTGCCACTCTCTGTCAGGATCTGCAACAGGATCTGCCTGTTCCACTTCTGTAAACACTGTACCCACTACAGGGATAGTTGAATGAGATAGAAATTACTTTTTTTGCTGTAACAGTGTATTGTATTAGAGTTTATATTTATTTGTGTTTTTTAAAATGTGGTGACTGAAGAGCAGCTAATTAAACTGTCAGTTCTCCTACTGTGGCCGTGGTTGCTCTCTCTGATATAAAAGAGCAAATAGCAGGAACCTGTTCCACTGATGCAGCAAACTCCACTTGTACTCATGAGTTAACCCCAAGTTTCACTGCAAAATTTCAGATCTTTTTTTCCACTGTTTTAATGAAAATATGACTGTAGTTGCTGAGTTTAAAGTATTCTATTTTATATTTTTGTTAAGCATGGTCAAATTTGTTCTGTGTTGTAAAGATCATTTGAATAAACTAKTTTTTTTTAAATTTTTGTTAGCCCAGCAGAAGAGCTGTATTTTGGATCCAAAGAAACCGGAGAGAGAAAGTGTTTGATAGTACTGACAAACGTGACTAAAAACATAGTGGCTTTCAAGGTAAACATTTTATGTGTTCACTGGTTTACTTTCTAAAATATGTGGCCTTTTCATGTATATTTCTGGAGAAGGAGGAAGAAATGCTATTAAACCTTCTTTTTTTTTTTTCCTTTGGTTATAGTACAATGTTTGAAACAGCTCAAAGAAATCTTTGTGCATCTCATGTATGATTGTAATGGGTGTAATCAGTAATACAAATCTTCGAGTACTGACTGGAATAGAGCTGCAGAGGTGGTTAATTCYTTCAGAATAATCTAAATCTTCCATAAGAAGGAAGCATTGTGGTTTAAGAGTATTTGTTTTCCTTTATAAATCCTGTGAACAAATTAATAAGGCTCCATAGTGATGGAATTGTTACTCTCAGAGGAGTCAATGCTGTATTTTTTTTCAAAAATACTGAATTGAATCAATCTTGATTTTTTTTTWAATTTTTTTATATGTGTTCTCTACAGGAATAAATAACATATTTCTCTAATTTCACATCAATAGTTTGGACAGATACTCTCTTTGATACTCTTGGATTTGTTTTTATATAAAAAAGAGAAAATAGCACATGCCAGAAAAGAAAGAATGAAAACACTTGACAGAGGAAGGAAATGAAATGATAGTGTCTTTTTAAAAATAAAGTGTTTTTAAGACCATAGGTTATCACTGTGCCTTATACAATATTTAGTTAAGATTTTGAACTTCTCTAAATATTTGTTTTCTTTATAACCATTACCAAAAAAGGAGAATATGAAATGATCACAGATTATATATACATATATATATATATATATAAGTATATTACTTAGTGCTTTGTTAGTGTATTTTGTTTATAGGTGAGAACCACCGCTCCTGAAAAATACAGAGTTAAACCCAGTAACAGCAGCTGTGAACCTGGTGCATCCTTAGACATAATAGTATCTCTTCATGGTGGTAAGTAAAATTTTTCAGTAGATGATTTTTAAGAAGTTTGGACCTGCTATATGAAGAATCTTATGCTTTTAGGTATTAGCTTTTGTATGCTCCTGTTAAGGTATCTGACACCCATGTCATCTTGACTCTTTTTGGAAGGATATTGTGAATACATGAGAGTATTCTCATTTGTAAGRGACTATGTCTCAACTGTGTTTCTCTGGAGTTGTAATTCCCACCGTCTTCACATGTCCAAGTTGATGTAATTTCCAGTTTAATTTCTCACCTCTGATTTTGGACAGACCTATGTTGGTCTTCTAGAAATTTGTTCCAGGACATTTTCTTTCGGATGCGTTTCCTGAATATTCAGTTGGTGGTGGGTTGCGGAGCAGTGTTTTATGAGGGCTTCTATTTGGTACAACCAAACTAAACATGAGTTTTTGACTCTTTTGTCAGTCAGGACAAGATCTTGAACTCCAGTGGCCAGCCACACTTAAAAATATATACAGTTGTCTTTCTTTTGTATGGGCTGTTAATATGGGCTGTGTTAGTTAGTAGTAAAGTTGATATGACACTTCATTGTTACTATACATAATAATAAAAAATGATGTGATTACCCATTACCCATATACAAAAAAGAAGTAGCACATACTATAGAGGTGAGACAGCCAGACTGGTACCTCACCGAAGGAAAGACAAGAAGGACTTAGCAGCTAATGTTCTTTTTGGTACCATTTTCCTGTCTGATTGAGTCACTGCCCATGTTGATTTACTATTCCACTTAAGCATGAGCACGTATGGTCTGTAGCCCATTCTGCTTCTTGTCTAAGAAAAGTGATGGGGACAGCTATCCCTCTTGTGCTGTGTTACAGTAGTAGTTTATCTATAGTAAAGCAGGCTTTCTAAGTAGCTTTAAGAGCAGAAAAATCTGCTGGAAAGAAACTTTGTTTTATAAAATTCTGGGTTCTCCCAGAATCACTCAGTTGAAGCCAGTTCTGTTAAAAGAAGTAGTGTAGAGCAAGTTGTAATGAAAATCATTGAGAATAATGGAATGAATGGTGTTTCTTATAGTCTGTGTCTGATCTCCTATGCTAAAGCTCCTGTTTTAGAGCTCTGAAGTTCAGAAACGCCTCCATATGCCCCATAACACTGATTATCCAAACACCCTGTTTCTTCCCGCTGCCGCCTGCCTTTCGAGAGCAGGTTTTGCAGCTTCCCTGCAGGATCGTTTCCTCATAATGGCAGCAGAAATGGACCAGGGTTCTGGAGCRGGTGTGTCGGAACTGACGCAGTTTTGGAAAGAGGTCCCTAGGACCAAAGTGATGGAACACAGGTAAGCAGATGGTGTTCATTTACAGGCCGCTCTTAGTCATCCTCTGTAATGTGAGTTATGGTACCTACATCTCAAAACCAGCACAAGATATTACAAAACATATTGTGTTCTTAGTACTTGAGGTATTTCACTGCTATCTCTTCTGTGCTTTAACTGAATACCGAGATTTTTTTTAATGCATAAAATGTCATGATATTCTGCATGCATTTTGCATTCTCTTTTTATTTTTGTTTAATTATGTTGATCAGAGCTAAACGAAAAAATGGGAATGGATGTGACAATACAGATCGATAGTAGATTTTTTTTGAATGAGAATGTGCCCTTTGAGTTTTCCAAAAATCAACAGACAAGAGAAGAGCAAATACCAAATGCCAGTCTGCTGATATTAAAATCTTTTTCTGAGAGAGAATCATAATTTTGTAGAATTGAGAAGCCCATCATGTGTTAATATGTGTGTTTTCCTTATTTGCTGTTGGCAAAATATCTCTGGGAACTTTTAAACACGGTTGTTGCTTTTCTCATATTCAGATCTATTTTAAAATTAGCTCCTCTTAATTCATTATAATTCATCACTGTTCATCTTAGTTTATTGTATTTTTTCTTCATCAAGAGTCATTATATCAGGAGGCTATACCAGCTATTCTAGCTTTAAAAAGGGATTTTTACCACATTTAATTTTAAACTGTTCTATGCCTTTTTATTTTTTTCAATCTTATTCTTCCAAAGCTCTTAAGGAGAGGAAAAAAAAAATTGTACATAAAAACATGGAGGCAAGTTATAGTTTATCTTTGTGCACTTATAGAAATAATTGCCCTGTTTGGAAGGGCTTGCATACCTTTGCTTATTATGCTTTATAAAATGGGAGTTACCTTAAGCTTCTTTCAAAAGATGTTGGCTGTTTGGGGAAGCTTTTTATGTGTTTGTTTGTTTTGAGCTTTGTTTTCTTTCTTTTTTAAGGAAGATTTCTGAAATCATAGGGAGAGATTTTAGGAAAAATATATTTGAACATGTTAAATTTGTCCCTTGAAATAATATATGTTTAAAAGACCATCTAAAGAAATGTTTGAGAAAATCTCCAGCTTTTGTTTACTGTTCAGTTAATTTTTCTGGTAGTAAAGATTTCACTAAATCCTCAGTGGATACCATATTATGAATTTTAAATAATAAAGGTATATTCTACTTGAGCATTAAGATCTTTTTGATTTGCTTTGTTTATCAAACTTTGTCAAAATAATTGATGGACCGAGGAAGGCTTTTCAGACTATCATTGCAATACTCATTTATAAAATTGGTCAAACAAAAGAGATAAGAAAGTACATATACTAAATGGGTTGGACAGTTTATTTTCTGTATTAATTTTCCAGTGTTACATTAAATTCATCATTTTGTGAATACACTGCTTTTTTTTTCCTCCCTTTCACAGGCTCAGGTGTCATGTTTTAGAAAGTAGTAAGCCTTCTACTCTGACATTAAAAGAAAATGCGTTTAATATTCCTGCAAAAACCAATGAAGATCTACATATACAGGTAGTAATGTACTCCTTTGTGCTGAAACTGTGGTAGAAATGAAAAGTTTTTTTTTCTTTTTGTATTAAAACTTCTTGGTACTTTACAAATTTTCCTCTTTGAAAAATTTATCACTTCAGTGTAACTAAATCAGTTGCAGTGATTTAATCATTTTAATGAGCATTAATGATTTAACAAAACATTACTAGTTGCAATTAGCATTCTCATTCCTCTTGTTTATATTATTTATCTCAGATATTAATAGACTTTTAGCAGACTTTTTTCTTCCTAATATAAAGATGTTCTTGTTACAGGCAATGTAGCTTATCCATAAAAAAAACAAGTTGTTTCAGTGGAACAGAAGAATGAAGTAGTCAGTGATAGAAAAGTTTATCACTAAGATCAATCGTTTAGATTATAACTGTGCTTGCAGTTTTTCTAACTGAGTAGCTTTGAATTAACCAGGACTCTCATTCGCAGGGATTCTAACACAACTGTTCTTATTTTCAGCTAACTCATTTACTGCAAATTAATAAAAGACTTCAAGAGCAGATTGATCGCTGCCTGTGGTTCCAGCAGGTGTTAGTGGTTTTGTCACTGCTGTCAGTTACTACTGCTGCCTTCTGCTTCTACCTGGTGTACACCCAGAGAAGCTAAAAAGCGTCGCCTTGTGCTGCCTGTGCTGCCTATCACAGATTGAAAAGGTGCTGCTCTCAAATTCTGTTACTGCCAAAAAGAGATTGGTGAGCCCACAACACTGAATGATGACTCAAGTTGCTGAAAGAAGAAGAAAAGAATGGTCAACAAAATACATTATTGAAACTTGACACTTTGTAAGGTGCATGAAAAGGGGGTGTTTGAGCTGGGAACTATTTTCACTGTACAACAATAAATACTGCTGAACTGGGAGGAGAGAGGAACAACCAAATACAACAGTATAATTTAATACTTCATTGTATTTTTTCTACTTTGTTCGGGTATTTTAAATACTGTATTTAATTTCTTTTGCCCATACTCATCTCTACGTCCTGAATAGCTGTCATAGAAGGTGCAAACAGTCTGCTTACTGTTTATAAAAGTTAACTTGTTCATTCAGGAAAATAGGCAGAGATTACATAGTACAGGCAGCATTTTCCTATAACCTAGGTACATCAATACAGCAAGTATAAAAAAGTTGGTAATTACCATTTAGAGAATTCAGGCTCCATTTCTTCATATTCCTTATTTTTGTGCTTTTTCTGCATACAAAAATATTATAAATATTTTCTACCAAATACCATGCACCCAGCCATATTTACCTGGAAAACAACCCTTGTTTGATTCCAAAGATATTAATGAAATATTCCTGTTGAGACACTATTTCTGCTCTATATGCTTTTTATTGTTCTGTTTTTCTTTTTTTGAAAGCAACTAGTAATCAAACTCAAAAAAATTGGCAATTGACTTCTGTTGATCTATTTATAACTCATAGAAAGTCTAACATTTAATCAATCTTAAGAACTCCTGAGGTGTGCAATATACTTAAGTCATGGATGAATATATGAAAAAGAAGCAAGTCAGTAAAATTTAATATTGTTGAAAAGAATATGAAAGTGTTGTATCTGCCATTTCTCTGCAAGTATCATAGAAATGGTATATGAAGCTATTGAGAATTTATTCTAACAAGAATTCTTTGTACTCATTGCTGTAAATATGTATATTCAAATGATAAACACTTTAAAAGAGACTGGTATCTTTCATACATTTAAATTTTTCACTCTTGGTAATGTGTAAAACTTAAAAATATTTTTCTTACTAGAATTAATTTTCACCACAAATAGGCTTGCTTAGTCGGCTGTTTAGTTTTGATCTGTCAGCTTTAATAGATGAGAGGCAATTATTTGCAGAAAATAAAGGTCATACCTTGCGCCTGTCTTCTTGCTAAGATTCTCTCTTCAGTATAGTGTAGATTTAATATTATTTCTAGGAAATAAGAAGAGGCAGTTTAAAAAAATGTGAGTAAACTAACTAATAAAGCAACATAGGGTTCAATATGATTACTGAAATATTATTTTGGAAAAGGCAGGACTACAGAACTGTGGTACACAGTCTTCTATCTTTTCTTAATTTGTACATCATTTTACCATATCAATATTTGCTTATTTTTTCATTCATCTTACTTCTTGCTTTTCATCGTTTTGTTCTCTTAACAATTTGCAGCTCTAGTTTTTCACTGTTTACTATGGAGCCCTTGTTTAAATTATTTTCCTGTGAACACAGTTCAGATTCTGTGTTTTTAACAAGATGAATTGTTGTCATGTTGTTAAGAAAGGTATGCAGTAATTTGTAACTTTTAGATAACACTTGGTAACCATGCTATTAAGATGCTTATTCCTTAATTTGTCTGGATTGAATAGCACTTTATTGTAGGATTGCAAGAAATAATTGTCTTTGCCAATACAAATATTTTAATTTTTTGGTGCTTTCATATATTTTCAGTACTTTATTACTATGTTGGTATTTTCTTTGTATAACGGATCAAAAGAACTTTTTTTCTATTTTAATATGTTTTAGAAAAATGCAGCTACAAAATAAATTTAAAGAAATACAATCTTGAATGTTTTGCTCGTTTCTTTTTCCTCGTGTTCTGCTTTCTGCGGCTTTTCCTCTTTCGTTAGTTTAGAGGTGCTTCATGAGGTGCTTCATATGAGAAGTGATCAGTAGGGTAATGGCCCCTACTCTGTTGCATGACAGAATTTTGAAGAGACATGCAAGACAAATGTAAAACCGTCTTCATTTCTCAGCCAAAGAGCTAGCTTTGATTAAAGATACCACTTGATACTGGCATGTAAACACAACCCTAGCAAGAATAATGTAAATCCACACAGTAGAAATATATATATTATACCGGTAAATCTAAATGTGCTTTAAACGTTGCACAGGATATGGAAAAACATCCTTAACATTTAAAAAAAAAAAAAAAAAGACCAATAACTTCCCCTTCTTTAAAAGAAATTGGCGGCAATATGCTTTGTATTCTATGTGCGTAATAATTTTATTTCAATCATAAAGCTTCCTCTCAACATTTTCCCTGTCTCAGTTCCTAGTAGTTTCAGGTTCTCCTTACATACCCATGGAAGCCCAGCTTTCAGCCACTCGTTTTGGGAAGATTTTATGCACGGTGCACGCTAGCCGTATTTAGGGAGGGCACAGCAGCCACATGACCTGACATCAGTACAGAGGAGGCTACTTGCTTTTTTCAGTTTGTAGGGCCTGGGCATTTTAGAATCTTAGCTCTGCAGGCATTTAGGAAATAGCAATGACTGTAATACTAAAAAGTAACTGTGTACTCAAAAAGGCTCGTATTTTTTTCTCTCCTGAGAGATTTTGTGCSCTGTTCTTAGGTTCAATACTTTAAGGCATTGTATTAAGTTTTGCTAGACAAGATAGTGCTTTGTTCGTCATCCCTTCTATGTTCCCAGAGTTTTACCATGGGATAGCTCCGAAGCTGCTGAATAGGTTTTCCAGTGACCCTGCTCACACCGGCACTGATGTTGTTCATTCTGATAGTATTTGCAAGAGTTCAACGTTCCCCTGTTTTTGCATGCTTGAAATGGTACCAAAAGAAAATCTAGCAATGATTTTAGTACTAGAAGTGGTACCAACTCACTTTTGTAGGGGAAACAAGAGTTTTTATGCAAGGACAGGCATACAGATTGTTTATTATTCTTAGATGCAAAATCTAAGGTTCTTGAGAGAAGTAAAAAACATGTTTGAATAGTCTGGTTTGGAAAAAAAATATTGTTTATTTTTCATTTTCATTAATATTTTACATATCAGAGAATTCTTCTCTGGAAATAACAGGTATTATAGACAGGCATAACATATCTCAGGCCTCTGGAAAACCAAGGCTGGGGCAGGAAGAGRCTTTTTGTTTCCACAGTGATTTCCTGCAGTAACTGATTTATCTGTAATGTCTGTGTTCAAACTCTCTCTACAACATAACACGTCTGTGCTTCCAAATGAAAACTACTTTGCTGCCTTCTAATGACTGTTACTGACTGCAGGGAGTACTGTAGGGAGAGCTTTAAGTCACTGTGCTAGCTTGAGGCTTCTCTTACTTCATGTGAAATTGCACTGGCAGCATGAGGCTATAAAGGTCGTTCTTTCAATAAGGCATATGTGTGCTCTCCACCTGTGACTTTCTTGTAAAAAGGGATGGTAACTGGGAATAGCAGAACAAATTTTAAAATTAATAAAGCAACCCTTCGTTCCACAAAGTGCATGACAGGTAGCTTCAAGAATCGACTGCTTTGAATCTTGAATTAGTCTATTTGAGGTCTGAATTAGACCTATTGAAGTCTAAAGAAATCTGTATTTGCAGCTAGGAAGAACTAATTGGTTCTAGTAAGTTAGGAAGAACATGTAGTTTGCTGCTTTCTGAGGTTAAAAAAGGAAGACATCTGTTTCTGAGGTATATGGCCTATTTGTAAGATAAAACTTGTAAGACAGCTCACAAAGACTAGSTATTATGGCAATTGCTTTGTTACCATTATATACATAGAACAGAGGTAAATGGTTACAGGTTAATATTTCAAATTAACAGTGATTTTCTGCATTACGTTGGAAACTCATAACTATTTCTTGGACATATTTCAGCATTAACACTTCTTGGGGCTAGGTTTCATGCAGCCAGTAAGAGGTGTAATCTCTCATTTTCAGTTCTCTTATTTCAGTGTTGTTGTTTTCAGTTGAAACCTGACTGTTTTGGGTTTTGTCAGTTTTCTATTTATTGTCTATAATAATGCACATAAAGAAAGCTTGGAAAATCAAGTTCATAAAATCCACCACTCCAGAAGCATGGCTGTGGTCAGGCATTTGTGTTGTTTGTAGTGTAGGTAAGTGAAATTCCATGTGCTGGTCTTGGCAGAGACTCCTTTTAGGTAATTTCCTAGTAGAACCACCCAATACCACTTGCTACTACTGAATAAAGGTACTGAAATCCCTGAGTTTTGGGAGAAGAGAGTAAGCCACTTACCAGATTTTTCTGTTACTGGATATCCTATCTCCTATTTTACTTCATTCTTAAGACTGGTGCACCAACAACCTGATTTCCTCTTACCTGCCTGGTGAAGGTCTAACTTCTATTTTCCTAAATGTTACAAGGACAACTGGGCTGACGTCTGAAAAGCATTCAATTCTCGTGGTATGATTGCAATTAATAGCAGTTGTTGGTTATAGAACCACAGGGAAACTATAGATTTCCACAGGGAATTTGCACTGATGATACTACTGAAATTATTAAGGCAGTCCAAACACAAAGCATTTAGGGCTGCCGTTCATTGTAGTCTTCAGTGAACTCCCAAAAATATGTGTAATGCCTATGCATTTATCTTTTTCTTTACTCAGCAGTAGAATGCATTAGTTAATTTACAGTCACTTGGGATTATTTGCAAAATCTTTTTAAAGAGGTTTTCCCTTGTGTTAAAAATAAGTTGTTAGATCATAAATCATGTTCACCTTTATTAGCCTGTGAGATATACCAAAACTTGCTTAAATCAGTAAGAAACAATGATGCCCTTGAAATACTTTTCAAAAACGAATTAAGTCATGATACTCCCTTTTTTTTTTTTTTTTAAGTCTTGATTTGACCTTGTACCTTTGCTCCTGTAAAAAATATGTGTCTATGCTTTTTTTTTTTTTTTTTTTAAGTCTTGATTTGACCTTGTACCTTTGCTCCTGTAAAAAATATGTGTCTATGCAAGAGGATTAACAATCAAAAGATTTATTAGAACTTACTTCAAGGAAGGCAGAGTTCAATATGAATTTTCTGTTAGAAGTTCAAAGGTGAACATCTACCCACTGAAGGACATACTGAGAAGTAGACACACAGTTTGCTAGGATTGCTTCTTGATCAGAAATTAGAAAAGGTTCAGCCCATGTCTGAATTATATATAGAGTCAAGCACATGAGTTGGAGAATTGTTACCATACAATGTGTTCTTCTTGATATGTAAGCAGTGTATCTCTGACAACAGAGTTCTTGTTTTGAACCCAGGAGAAGGAACAAAAGCAATTTTTGTAGGTTTTGATTTACATCCTTAGATTTGCAAAGAAATACCTCAGACACAAGAACTTAAATCCAGCCCTCCAGTGTAAGTGCAGCCATGACCACCATCCATTTTTGTTTTTTATGAAGAAGTCTGAATTTAGATGTCCTTTGGGGAATGAGGATGCAGGCTAACGAATCCACTGTGGTGTTTAATTTTTCAAAATTACAACTTGTATTTCCTCAGCTCCGTATCTGTTAAGATCATTGCCAGACTCATTTTTGACAGCTTGGAACTATATCTGAACACCTGTTCTTCAAGCCCTAGGGAAAATGTCAGAAATGAGGAACATCATTTAAATAAATATAGGTGGCAACAGTAGTGAGAAAAGGAAGCATAAACAGAATTCATTAAGCTTTTATTTTCTAGCAAGCTACAATGGATAAATTGCTGAAACAAAAAGCAAATCTCCGTGAACACCACAGATGCTTCATTAATCTGATACAGCTAACACTTTACAGATCATCTGTGAATGACAACAGTACCCAATTCCCTCAAATAAATTTTCATCTATAAGGGGTGTAACACTTGCCATATATTTCTTTTCTTTTTTTTTTTTTATTCTAAATTTAAGTTTGCAGCTGATGGTGACTCACCAAAAGATTTTGTGTTGCCTTTTAAAGGAAAGTGGTGTTGGTTTCCTTGAAGAGTTCACAATTATAAGGGGTTTATTTTCCGCAAAAAGGATGGGCAAACACAGATTTTTAGTCTTGTGTGAAATTCGGAGTAAAAAAAATAGCAAAGCATATTTTTTAAATACAATCTTGAAAAAAAAATGTATGATGGCACATATGTAATCATGGGTCTTGCTGATCTAGCAGCTACTCTGATTGACATGACCCTTCTTCCTATCCTTTGCACTGGATTCCTGTTGGAAATGGAGCTGGTATTAAGTATCCTGCCAAAACTGGCAGTACGTTCCAATAACACTGTAAAATTTGTTGGTCTCATTCTCATTCAACATGGACAACTAAGACCCAACATGGTCCCATTAGCCACTCCAGCCATATTGTGATTTGCTTGCTGCAGAGGGAACAGATTTATGGATCTGTGTGTCAAAACATGTTTTCAGCCTTTGGACAGGCAGATTTACTTTGTTTTAATCTTTTTACAGATCAAAATAGAGCTGAAGCAAATTGTTAGAAGTAGTAGAAGGTGTGGTCTTTGTTACAAAACAAGAACACTCTAAGTTTCTCTGCTTGAATATAATTTTGAATACATTGGAGAAGAAAACAAGAGCCAGTGCTATAGGACACCCGATATACAGGCTTTTCATGTGCTTCTGCTCTCTACCAAAAGGAATTACTGTTAGGTAGA